TCTCGCTGAACTCGCAGCTCCGGGTGGCTCCCCTGTGGTCTAAGCAGTGGAAATGGAGCCAGCCAGCCATGGGGCAGGGGTGGCAGCAGGCCCCTCCTGCCAGTGATGCTAGCTCACCCCGGAAGGTCATTCCTGACCGGCGCTTATGAAAGCTTTATGGGGGGACCTGCCAGGCTGGGGTGTTCAAATGCAGTGGATTCTGTAAACCCGTAAGGCTGCACTGTACAGCCTTGCCATATAGGCTCCCCGCAAGCACCAGTGCCCGCATGGCCCCCTGCATTGCTGCCTCGATCAGTGATGGGCATAGGTGGCTCTGCGGGAGCCAGTTCTCACCTGTCTTGCTGCTGCCTCCCCCTTGCCTCTGGGTGGGGTGGGGGGTCTGCATAGAACCATTCGGATTAATCAGTGAGCACAGGCTTATCAAACGGGTACATGCTCACACCCCTAGAATCGGCTCTTCAGGGGACAGCTGTCCTCACCTGAGCGTCCCACAAAGGCAGGACAGATACAGGTTCCAGAGCACTGGTACTGTCTGATAGAGGTCTATAGAATCATGAGTGGTGTGGAGAGGGCCGATAAAGAAAAGTTATTTATTAGTTCCCTAAATAGAAGAACTAGAGGACACCAAATGAAATTAATGGGGAGCAGGTTTAAAACTAATAAAAGAAAGTTCTTCACACAGCATGTAGTCAGCCTGTGGAGCTCCTTGCCAGAGGAGGCTGTGAAGGCTAGGACTATAATAGAGTTTAAAGAGAAGCTAGATAATTTCATGGAGGTTAGGTCCATAAAAGGCTATTAGCCAGGGGATAAAATGGTGTCCTTGGCCTCTGTCTGTCAGAGGCTGGAGAGGAATGGCAGGAGACCAATCGCTTGATCGTTGTCTTCGGTCCACCCTCTCTGGGGCACCTGGTGCTGGCCACTGTCGGCAGACAGGATACTGGGCTAGATGGACCTTTGGTCTGACCCAGTCCGGCCGTTCTTATGTAGTGACACTTCTCCCTTAGGTCTGGGCAGTAAACGAACTTGAGGGAGGGAGAGATCTGGTTCCTAAGTCTCCCTCCGCTTCCCAGTCTGGGGATAGCGTCTCTGGCTTGTGGCTCTAGTTAGCCTAGCCCTGGTGTTACACTTCCATGCTTTGCTTTTTGGGGCTCGCACTTGGGCCTCCCCAGCATGCTGAGTCTGCCAGCACAGGGCGTGGGTCCCAGCAAGCAGCAGTAACCAGGCTTTTAGCTCCCCCTCCTGCTCCAGTGCTGTGACCTGTTCAAGGCCAATTGTTAGGCACACTCTAGATAACGGTAGGCTTCAGCCCACGCAGCCCACCCCCAAATCCTGTAATCTGGGGACTGGCTGCACAGGCTTGGTGTGGAATCAGCAGAGGCGCCTTGTTAAAAATGGGTGGGTTCGTGTGAAACAATCAGATATCCCAGCCTTGGGCTGAAGACCAAGTAGAAGAAACAGCTATTTGGGGAGCAGAAAACACCTGTCAGCCCCTAGATCCGTGCCCTGCTCTGTCTCACTGACATGTGCTGCTGGGAACTTGGACTCCCACTATCCGGGGTGTGTGTGTTGTGGACAAGGAGGGGCCTGCAGTTGTCAGCCTAGTCCTAGGGCTGCTTTGAAGGGCCTATCAGCTGTTACTGACCAGTGTACACCCATCTGATCTGTGCGACATGTTGGCTGGACAAAACCATGCCCCCTCCCTCCGGGAGTCTAGTGCTTCCTGCCCAGCAAGATGTATTGCTGAGCACTGCCTGACGGGAATGTGGTGCTGTCAGGACTGTCTGGGGGGCGGTGTTCATTCGGACTCTGGAGGGCAAACGTTCCCACTGGGATACAAAGAGGCGTCTCGGTGACATGGCCTTGCAGCTGAAGCGACAATCGTACTCTTGCCAGGCCAGGGCCTGCTTAGCATGACTGCTGGGTGGGGACCTCCAAGGGGAAGCCCAGGCTGCTGTAGGGAGTGAGGGTCTGCAGTCTCCAAAGGGGATCTGTCTGCCCTGACCAAGCAGCTTGGCGTGGGGCCGGTCCATTGCCGGCTGGTGTCCTGGCTGGCTGCCCTGCTGTGGCTCGGCCTAGAGGAGCTGCTCTTAACTCCCACCACGTTAAAGGTGGCTGCTCTTGGGGACCACTCCCCCAGGTAGCTAACTGGCCTGGGGGGCCTATGCCTGAGCTGGGCTCTTGGCTGCCACAGGACCCATCGGTAGGAGAGCTTGGCTGGCTGTCCTGAGTGCGTGGCTCCGCTGCCTGGGGCTTCTCTGGAAAGGGGGGCAGGCTCCTGTGTTGGCCGCTCTGCGGGAAGCCCAGCGACCCTGTCTCGTCTCTGGTGCTTGAGGGGTCTCCCTGTGGCTGACCACCCTGCTGTTGGGCGCTAAGGGCCTGAACCCACCTCTGGTCTTCAATTGGCTTTGGTCCTGTCTGAGTTGCCAGCCTGGCAAAGCCAGGGACGGGCGAGGCTGTGCTGCTCCCTTCGGGGGATGCTTCCTGTGCCTGTCAGTGTCACAGCTGCTGTGTAAGCACATGGGGTTGCCTGAAGGCTCGTCCTCACTTAGCCATGTCCTCCTCGGGTGGTTGGAAGCCTGACGTGCCTACCCAACAGCTCCTATTGCTGGATGCAAGACACTCCCGTCCCAGCCCCCTCTTCCGGGGCAATCCGTCTTCCTTCCTCTGCCTCTGCGCACCCTCAATACTTCCACTCTCGCCACGCTTGGCTTCTGTCCCCGGCTTTGAGCTGGAAAGCAGGTCTGCGGTGCTGGCCGCCTCCTGTCTCCGCTGCCTCTGACTTGTGACCCTCCAAATCCCACATCCTGGGGAGGGGTGGTATGACTCGCTCCTCTGGGTACTCTACTAACCTTCCCTTTCTCTCTTTTCTCTCTTCCTCTTGTTCCCCTAATGCTCCTGTTGCTGATGCAGAGCGCCTGTACAGCCAGCTTGAGAGAAACCGCCTGCTCTCTAACGAGCTGAAGTTAACGCTGCATGATCTGTGTGACTGAGAAGGGGGCCCACTAATGACACTAAACGAGCTTATTGTGAGCACGAGCTGTGGACCACAGTGAAATCTGATCACTCTTAAGACTGGCAGATTAGCAGATTTTGTGCAGTTACTGCTATTTAATGAGGCAGCTAGTCTATCCTCTAATGTACTTTACTTTCAAAGGTAACCTCTGTTCCCAGTGCATCCCCCTCCCACTGGCTGGAATTCTCCTGATTCCGATTGCTCTGGGCAGTCGTGTGGCAGGGAGCCTCTGGTAGAGCCGGGAGAGCAGCCCCCAGTCAGGTGTGAGGGTGGGGGCTAACTTGGAGACCTGTCTCCACTAGTGAGTTGCTGTAGATGCTGCTTTTGATGATGTCTAAGTGCTGTGATTGACCTAACACGCTGTATGCCGAATTGTGTGTAGCATCTCCTGTGGTGCGGCTGGAGGGCTGTTCCTAACGACAATAAAGTGACCTGGTGGTCTGAACTGCAAACCTGTGCTGCTTTCACAAAGCCGTGCTCCACCCAGACAGCCTGGGGAGAAGCCAGAGGGCGTGGGGGGGGGGCGCAGGCAGGTTCCACAGCTGAGACTGCGGATTGAGAGCTGCTGTTGTCCGAGGATGTACTGAGGCATTGGAGGCTGTATCCTCCATTCTGCACTGGCAGGCTGGGAGGGGGCCCAGGAGAACTTGTGCAGAGAAGCCCAAAGACCCGGCCATCCAGGGGTCATGGGCAGAGCTGCCTTGAGTCTCCAGGGCAGTGGCTCTTTGCCTTGGGCTCACTGCATCTGCTCTGCAGTGTCCTGAAAGCCAAAGCAATGCTCGATGCTTTCGCTGATCACCAGCGCTGCCGCGGGAGACCCTGTGCATGGGGGGGGGGGG